CTCATGGATTTTTTATTTTTTCACAAAGATGAACTGTATAATTATGCAATATCATTATTAATCCAATTTTCATTTGATAATTTACGAATGCCTGAAATAAATAATATAAGATGATAATGATTTAAAAAAAAAAAAAGAAAAAAAAAAGTTTCAATTCAATATTACGATATTGAAAATAAAATTATTAAATTGAAATGGAATGGATTTTTAATAATTTTTTAATAACTTAATCAAAAAGCAATTCTTAACTGAGTTTAAATTGTTTTTGAGTTACAGTTTGTTTAACAATTATATAAAAAAGAAAATAAAATTTATATAAGAAATTATATAAAAAAAAAAATTACTAGAAACTTTTCTTTCTATTCAATTATTTTAATTTTAAATTATACTACTTGAAGTTTAAAAAAGTGTTGAATTATTATTTTATTCATACTATGTAATTTTTTGGACCATCAAAAATTAAAAAACATCATGGAATTTCTTGTTTTCATATTCTCCTGTGTAAATCTTTCGAGATCAAATTTCATTGAATCAGAGTAGATATCTGGATTATCGTGAATAGTATACACATATCCATAAATTCATTTTCTTTGGTAATAATAATTTCATATTTTGAAAAATGCAGTTATTAGAAATAAATATTTTTTTAATATTTCTATATAGAAAATAATGTATACAATTTAATTCTCAATTTCTCTTTAGAGGATCGATTCTAGAAACCAAAACAAGCATAAAAATTGGTAAATAAAAATATATTAAAGTTTATTTATTAAGTTATTAGCAAGGTTTTAGATGAAGCGAAATAGAAATAGAATGACATACAGCGCCACGACGTGATGCAACGATGTAACAAAAATAATATTCTTACTCTAATATCTCGCTCCATCTAACGCAAACTTAAACTTATAACTTATAACTTAATAAATATGGCTCAATCGATATTTTTATGTTTACTTTGGCTTCTAAAATTGCTTCTAAAAGTATCCCTCGAATATATTAACCTTTATTTATCCTATATTTATCATAATATTTTAAAAAATAAATTTTATTAAATTATATTAAATCTTTTAATATTAATTTTCTTTTTTTTTTACAATGGAATAATATGATTCTTATCTTTAAATATTTTGTTCAAATATATCATTTATCTTTTAGTATCATATCTTCTTTATTTCTTCTTTTAATTTTTTTAAGTATATCTTAGTATATCTTGATTTAAGCTAATTCATACAAGATATTGATTAAGAAAGTTTCAAAATCAATCGCGAAAAAGATAAATACTTGTGCTTAAAAATATTTATAGCAAATATTTATCTAAATATAATGTTAAGAAAGAGACATTTGAGAGATGTGATTTTATTTCTAATTTGAATATAAGTAGCAATACAAATGGTATTAATAAAATTAATTAATTGGTTAATTGGTTGCAATTGCATAAAACGTATATTATAATCAGCAGTTACGTTTGTATGAAAAAAAAATTATTCATAAATATATTAAGAAAATAATCTGATGAATGATAATAAATGTTTATAAATATCGCTTTAATTACTTTAATAAAGAAAAATATTATATAAACATAGATTAATTAATGTTTTATTAAAAAAATATAAGAAAAAAATCAGACACGTATACAAAGTAATTACATATATATTTATTTATAAATTACAAAATATATATAATAAAATAGCATGTAATAATATAGTAGTAGTAGTATTTATATGTTTTAAATTAGATTTTAGATTTATGTATCAAAAAAAAAAAAAAATGAATATATTAAATATAAAATATACTAAATATTAAATAAATATAATAATATAAAATTTTCTTTTCTAGATACGTACAATCTTTTTTTAAAATATTTAGATTCAAATGTACATATTATTTTTCTAATTATTAAACATTTTTTTATATTTATTTAATATGAGAGAAATCTAATAACGGTTAAATAATAAAATTTTTGGATTAAATTTTAACAATCCATTTCTTCTTTCATCACTTAGTATTTCGAGTTTGAAATATCTGATTCATTTCTAATTTTTGTTTTTTGATTCTAGTTTGAAAAATCACTTATTAAATTTTTTGACATTTATAATTATATTGTATAATTTTATTATTTAACCATTATTAGATTTCTCTCATATTAAATAAATATCTATTTTATAAAATTTACATATTATGTGTTATTTGTAGGAATATGTTATAGGAAGAGAAAGAAATTTAAAAATTAAAAGAAGAAGAAAAAAAATAATGCTTGCCAATTTTATCATCTTAACCTTACCAAAATATCATTATAACACAATTAACAATGACTGTAATAATTACATATATCTCAATAATTATATATATATATAATATATATATCATAAATATATATAATATGCTTATAATGTTTATAATATACAATATGTATATCGTAACATTAAACAATTCTATCAATTTAAAGGAACATTGTATCAATTCTCTAATTTGGTTATCTTTAAGAATATACCACCTAATGGTAACGAAATGAATGAAAATGGATTATATTTATAAGGAATTACTGTTTTATCACAAATATCAATTTTGTAATTAGAGAGGATTTTAATTAGTCCAATTTTTGATTGGTAAGTCGCAAATCGTAAACCTGGAACGAAATATATACAAATTAATTTAAATATCAAATAATATTTAAATATATATTTAAATATAATACACTTTCTTTTTATAAATGCATGCACTCTAATTTTTTTTAATTATGAAATATTTTTTAAATATGTATCTTATATTTATTTTTAAAGTCTCTCTATCAGAATTTTAATTAATTTTCTTTTATTATTGTCAAAAATAATTTTATGTAATTTTAATTATGTAAAAAAAATGTAAATATCTGCCAATGTACAATATGTCTCTATTAAAATCGTTACATACCGATACAATTTCTAGGTCCGTGTCCAAAAGGGAAATAGTGCATGGAATGCCTTTTCTTTACCTCATCTTCCGAAAATCTTTCAGGATCGAACTTTCCTGGATTTGGATAGATACTTGAATCGTGGTGAATAGGATAAATTGGTATACAGATCAATGTGTCTTTGGGAATCGATACTTTAGTGCCTTCGAAAGTATAATCCTCGACTGCCCTTCTGCTCAAATATGGCAATACTGGATACTTTCTTAGCGTTTCTGTAAATCAAATAAAAATGAAGTTACTATGAAGATAATATAGATAATGGAATGTCTTTAATGCGTTTTGACCTTAAAATATGACATACACATTATCATAAACATTTAAATGAACACAGCAAAATGAAACAATGAACAAATTTCTAATTTTAATTATTGACAATTGAAAATTAATGGAGATATATTTTTTTAGCATGAACGAAACATAGGATAATTAAAGCAGCAAGAAACACAATGTAATTTGCTTTTCAACGTTATGTGGAATTTGTTTTCTACAATTTTTAATATACATGATCAACATAACGTTGAATAGATATATAAATGATAATGGCGATTAGCTATAAAGATTTAATGATTGGACCATATTGGCAATAAACCTTTATTTCATTAAGTTTGAAGATCACTATATTACTTCAATTCCTACATTTTTTTGTACATGGAGATTTACTTAGAAATATTTTCGTTAATCCATTTATTATTCCAATAATTAAAAAACAAAAGAAATTGAGAACACAATTTTTTCTTTTTTTTATTTCTGATTTTATCTTATTTTTTAGTACGAGAAATTATTTTTAAAATTTTTGAACATCTGAAGCCGAATATTTTATAAAATTTCAATTTTGAATTGTAATGTAATTCTTATAAGAATGGAAGTATAGATTTGTTTCTCATAAAATCATATGACTTTTGTGTTATGTTACTTTTTGCAGAAAATATTGGAAAAATATTGTATCTAGATGAAATTTTTACATTTAAATACAACAAATTTCTAAATACTGAATATAATTATCATTTTATATTTAATTCCAAGTTAATTACCTACCTTTAAATGTTTTATCTAAATATTTCATTTCTTGTATAGTTTCGTATTTCCACTCTCCATTGTTATTTGCCTCAAATTCCTTAATTTCTTGTCGCAATTTTTCTTGGATATCAGGATTCAAAGCTAATTCATAAAGGGTATTAGCTACTGTCGTCGAGGAGGTCTCAAAACCAGCAGCAAAGAAAATGAATGCTTGCGCGGCTAACAAACCATCTGTCAAATCTAATAAGAATAGGAAAAATGGATATTAGAAGTACTGAATATTATGTTAAAAAGTTGTTAAACGTTGAATATTTGTCCAATCATTTTTTCCAAATGCTAATTCTATTCTAATAATATAAGAAGAATTATAATTCTGAAGAAATGATTGAATGATGAAGTTCAAAAATTATAAAATAAGTTATAAACAGTACTTTTCCATTAAAAGTTTCAATCTAGAACGTAGTAATTTGTAGCATCAATTGCGCTTACCAATTGTTCGTACATTCATTCGTGTGTAAAGATTTATCAATTTTAAAAATTACATACTAACCAAGAGTAGGAACCTTTTCAGGATGTTTCTTGAGATCCATAAGTATATTCATGAAATCCGGTCTGACAATATTGTGCGCCTCTCTAAACTTAAACGTGTCTTTAGTTAACTTCAACATTATTTTCGTTTCTTGATCCGCTGGTAATATACGAACGAGTAAATAGTGAAGCATCGGCAAGAATTGTTTTATCCTGAGTCTCAACATCTTTAAGAAATTCGTAGCAAAAATTTGTCTTCCGAATCGACGAAATTCACTTTCCTTTTCCGACAACGAGTTCATCTTGATGCCAAACACGCAACTTCCAATTACGTCCGTGGTAAATTTGGCGGTAACTTCTCGCACGTCGATCGGCTCTCCCATTTTCACCAATTTGTCCATATAAGTCACAAAATGATTGGAACAATCAAGAATTTGAGCGAATGTTCCTTTCAGTTTACCCGTCGAGAACACTGGAGATAATTGGGTTCTTAATGGCCGCCATTTCTCTGCCTCCACTAAGAAGAGATGCTGGCTCAGTGGATCTACCTATTATAGACGAATATAAACGAGAAATTTAAAATAATTTAGAATAATACACGTTAAGAAAAATAGATATAATAGAAAATATTTAAAGATAGGATTTGTATTTTAAAAAGTTAATCAAATTATATTTCTAATTATTGTCTAAAAATATGTATACGAAATTACACGAAAGACTTTTCATTTATATTCCATAAATAATTGAAATCACTATTTATTCTTCTATTATTTATTTGATACGTTTTAAAAATGAAATATCAAAATTTGATAATTCGATGAATTTATAAAAAACAAACTTTTTTTTTAAACGAAAAATGTGGAAAAATGAAAATATGCAATTAATAAATAAATAAATTATAAATATTTATTCGTGTTTATACTAACTGGATCACTTTTTGGGAATCCTCGATTAGGAAACTTGCAAAAATCTTTAATCATAATATCCTTGATAAGATCGGGATCTTTGACAATCAAGGCAGGATATGTTTTCATAAATACTCCGATCAAAGCTTCGTTTTTATATTCATTGTACACCCTCTTTAAAAATTGATAAGGCGCTTCCTTTCCTAAAACTATCATCAAGACATTGCCGAATCCAGGTAGAGGTTCTGGTCCAGGTATACCACGAATTTTCCAAAAATTGTTTCGAGCCGTTATATAATAATAGAACGCAATAAGTACTACTATTATGCCACAGAAAATTTCCAAATTGGCGATCATTTTTTAAATTTGAAATTAAACATTAATCTGCAGTGAACTGAAAAATACAAATAATTCTTAATTAAATAATTATTAAAATTTAATTTAACGTAATAAAATGAATAATGCATGAAAAAAAAATTTTTTTTTTCAAAAACTCGCAAAACTAGAAACGATACAACGAAACAATTATATTATGAATAATATTTCATATATCATGAAATGAATTCAAAAATTATTTATTGGCTAATTTCTTATAAAAAAAAGAAAAAAATATAAAATAACATTATTTCATAATTTTATATTTTTATATATTTTTATAAAGAACTATTGTTTAATTTTAATATATAATTTTCAAATTTATGCGATACATTTTTTTTTTAATTATCAAAATTTATAATACACTTTAAACTTATATTGAATCTAAATTAAAAATTCACAATTCAATTTTCACTTAATAAATTATTTTACTATTATAAATTTGACTACGTCCGAATATCCAACGTAAATAACATCCGATATTAAGAATTAAAAATGGAATATACTCAAATTGAATATAAATAATTGCTAAATTTTAATTGAATGTAATATCTGAATTGCAATTATTTAATATTTACTTTTTGTACTCGGCGTATCGGTATAGATTCTCTATCCTAATATTACACCGAAGGCGATTCAACATTCACTGCAGATTTGTCAAACAATTTATCAGATTTATAACATCTGTTAGATAATTACGTATAATTACACAGACACATATATACATGTACAAGAATTACATATACTTATGCAGATTTTTTGCTATATAATATAAATATAATAAATAAAAAAATAATATAATAATATTTATCGATATTATCTTTTTTATTTTAGATCTAATCTCGTATTTTCATTTTTATTTGTTGAATTTTGCATATATCCATGGCGTTTCTTTTTCAATTCATGGTGAATTTAATTGAAATTTGTAATTTTGTAGTAATGTTATTGATCTTCCACATTGTATATGAGACAAATTTAAAAAAAAAAATGTTCGAAATTATATAAAAAAATATTTCGTATGAAATTGTAATTAATTTCAAGGAGAAAATAATTTCTTCTCTTTCTCTCTTTCCCTTTCTTTCTACAGTTTTTTGTAAATGAATGTGCAAAGATCAAATTTATTTCAATAATGTAACGCTTTCAAATATAACATTCGATTCTAATCATTTTTTATAAAAAAAAATAATAAGTTATTAACACCTTTAGAGATTTATATTATTTTTCAAAAAAAATATTTACAATACATACAAGATATTGATATATTTCGTTATATTTTGTTCGAAAAAAAAACATTTTAAAAAGTTAATTTTCTGTTAAAACAAAGGCAGAAGTTGTTATATAAAAATTATTTATTAAATTATAAACAAATTAATTTGTGTTAGATGAAGAGAATGGTATGCCATACTACGGCGTATTTATGTATCAATTTTTGTATTTATTTTGGCTTTTAGGACGTTTTCCAAATGTCCACAAATATATTAATAACTTGTATATTGAAAACAAAAATGATTTGGTAATTTCCTTTGATGCTTTTCTTAATAAAAAAAATCTGCTCTATAATTATCTAAGCATAATATGATTTAATTTTTTTCTAGATTCTTATGTTATGTTTTTTAAAATTAATTTTAATAAAAACTATGAATTCTGAAAAGAATGGTTTGCAGATTTATATTCAGTATATTAAGAAATGATTATTAAAGATTACAAAATCGAAAAAAAGTTAAAATTTATCAAACAATGCTAATTTAGTTAATGCTATGAAATACGCAGAATAAAATCAGCGAAATCATGTGATTTTTAAAATATGTAATAAAAATGTAATAAAAATAAAAATTGATCTATTTTGAATTGATATAGTTGCGACATTGCAATTTAAAAAATGTTTTTTTTTTTCTCTTCTGAAAAAAGTTAAGGTTACATTATAACATATTATTAATTCTTAATAAATATTATAAAAATGTGTTATTAGCAACAATTGACGTAAATATACAGCTGATCGATTAATTGCAGTTTTTATATCCATATTTATATGCGTATTAATTAAATTGCGTAAATAATATTGAATGTTTATTTAAGTTAATTAAATTACATTTTTTTTGAAATTCATTCATCACATTAAAATCTTTATAATTAATATTAATAAAAGAAAATTTATTTTACTGACAAAAAATGTATCCAATCTAAAAATTTATAAAAATCTTCTTTTGGTATTGGACAATTTTTTTTTTTTTTAATATCCAAATTTATTTTACGAAATTACAACAGGTATTTTTTAATTTTATTTCCCAATTTATAAGTTATAATACTGCATCCACAATTATAACCAATAACAAATCAATAAACAGCAAAAAAATATTTAAATTAAATAAAAAAAGATGTTCGTTCAGAAGATGATATATCTTCAAAAATTGATCTATTTATGAATAGTTATGAGCAATAGCGAATTATTGCGAGTACAAGTTTAAAAATATTTCATTTGAATATCTATATATTGTTTGAATAGTGAAATTATTAGATTGTGTTTTTAATAAAAGATAATAAAATTTAATTTGACACTTTTTCTAATTTAAATATTTTAGTAATTATCATTATTAAATGATCAATCATGAATATTAAAATCAACCATGAAAAATTAATTATCATGTATTTATAAATTATGAATGCGATATCGCCGATATTTTTTATTCAAACAATTTGCATAATTGTCGAAAACTCGTTTTTATCTAATCGTAAGATAAAAATTGCGAATAATTAAAATTTTCTTGAAAAGAAAATTCTTTAAATAACAAAATATAAAATATCGGTATTCTTTTTTATTTTTTGATATATAATAACATTTATTGTTCATCAATTTATATTAAAGTGTGAGCGAATTAAATTTATGATTATCATATTCTATTATCTATCTTGTACATATAATATACAAAATATTGATATATTAATTTGATATATAGTTTAAAAAGATAAATTTAGAAATTCGTTTTTAAAAGCGAAAACAAATACAAAAATTGATATACGAAAATATCGTTTGAAGCTTTATTAAGTCATAATCTAATATCATAATTGATAATGAGCTTATTTATTAAATTTGCATTTTATATAAAATTTCTATTGTTCGAAAAAAATATATTATGAATATATTAATACTTTATACATTATTATACATTCTTGATATAATATATTATTTACAATAAATTTTTTTTTAGACTAATTCTTAAAATTATTAATTATCAATGCAATGACGCTTATTAATTATTATTTTATTTATTTTCGTAACAAAATCGTTTAACTTTTTATGTTATATTAACAATGTTTTATTGCGATAACATTATTGATAAATATAATGATAAATGTATAAATGATTGTTTTGTTTTTGCATACAAGGTACCCATTAAATTTTATAATTATTCACAACAAGTATTTATGTACAATTTAATTAAGTACTATGCAATTTTTTCCTAAATACAATTAAATTGCGCACATAATTAAATATAAATATTTAATTAATAGTAAATATTCAATCTTGTATTTTAGTCATTTTCAAATATAAACCACCTAACGGTACTAAGATAAACGAAAAAGGATCATATTTATAAGGAATTAATGTTTTAGAGCAAATATCAACCTTGTAATTACGGAGGATTTTTATCAGACCAATTTTTGTTTGATAAATTGCAAAACGTGCACCTGAAATAAATTAGTTAAACTTAAATAAAATAAACGGGAATATGATTCGCTTTTCAATAATATATATATATATATATGTAATAATTTTATAAGTTCATCGTTATTTAAAAATTGATTTAATCTCAAATTTGTATTATACGTGCCTATACAGTTTCTTGGTCCGTGTCCAAAAGGGAAATAGTGCATGAGATTCCTTTCTTTTATCTTATCCTCGGTAAATCTTTCAGGATCAAACTTTTCTGGGTCTGGATAAATATTTGGATCGTGATGAATGGGAAAAACGGGTATCCAGACCAATATACCTTTGGAAATCGTTAATTTAGTATTTCGAAACGTATAATCGTCGATCATTGATTCCCTGCTCAAAAATGGCAATGCTGGATACTTTCTTAGCGTTTCTTTAAATAAAATAAGAATAAATTATACTATTATGATAATTAACGATTAACATTTTAAAAGTTAGAAAAAAAATAAACTAATTAAGAAATTATATTCTTAAAATAAATTTAAATACTAATTAATCTGTAAAATAACTTAAATCAAAAATTTAAAGCCAAGATGAATTTTGAAGAAAAATATCGTAGCACTCACCATAAAATATTTTTCCCAGGTATTGCATCTCTTTAATGGTTTCATACCTCCACTCTCCGTCATTCTTTGCCTCGAATTCCTTAATTTCTTGTCGCAATTTGTCTTGCATATCGTGATTCAAAGCTAATTCGTACAAAGCATTGGATATTGTCGTCGAAGAGGTCTCGAAACCAGCCGCAAAGAAAATATATGCTTGTGCGGCTAACAGATCATCCGTTAATTCTATATAATAGGAAAATAAATAAATTCGATAAAAATTTCAAAGATTTTAATAAATAAGTATGACATCAAAAAAATAATATTAAATATTTGATCTTCGATATATATATATTTCTGCATGTATGGTTTCATCCAACAAGGATTATATCATCTCTGTCTCATCGACGCAAAATTTAATCAATTTTAATTTATGTTTTCATTTATTTTTACTCGTAGAATCGTAATCCTAATTTATTATTGTTTCACAAATTTATTAATAATTTGTATACTAACCAATATCAGCAATCCTTTCGGGATGTTTCCTAAGTTCCAGAAGTATATTCATAAAATCCGGTCTGACAATGTTGTTCTTCTCTCTATATTCGATTGTCTCTTTGGTAATTCTCATAAACATTTCCGTTTCTTCGTCGGATAAAATATTACAGAACAAAGAATGCAGGAGCGGCATGCTTTGTAGCAATCTAATCTTTAATATATTTGTAAGATTAGTGGCAAAAATATTTCTACCAATTCGACGGAATTCACTCTCTTTCTCCGACAATGAATTCATCTCGATCCCAAAGACGCAGCTTCCGATTACGTCGGTGGTGAATTTAGCGGCAACTTCGCGCATATTTATAGACTCCTCTATCTTCAACAACGTGTCTATATAAGTCACAAGATCGTTGGAACAGTTAAGAATTTGTGCGAATGTTGCTTTCAGTTTGCCCGATGTAAATACTGGGGAGAGATGGTTCCTCAGCGGCCGCCATCTTTTCACTTCCAGAGCGAAAAGGTGATTAGTCAATGGAACTTTCTGTATTCGTTGAAAGATCGTACAATATATCGATTATATTTACTTTTCTTATTATTAATAATAAATTAAAAACGAAATGCAACGAAAATAACTCTCGTTCAATTTCAATTTTAATATAAGATCCATTAAAAACTTCATTTTCAATTTTTTATTTTATTCTAATATGAATTGAATGTAAAAAAAATGTTTATTTATTGAAATTATTTGAATGCAAGATATAAAATTTCTTTCACGCTACGTATATATACTTACTGGATTCGTTTTTAAAAATCCTCGATTCGCGAATTTTGAAAAATCTTTAATCATAACATCTTTGATGAGATCAAAATCTTTGAGAAGCAAGACAGGCCTTTTTCTAAAAAATATTCCAATCATCTGTTCGTCCTTATATTCATTGTATATCGTAGTAAGAAATTCTGGAAACGATTCCTTTCCAAACATTACTGTCCGCATATTTCCGAAACCAATGGTGGGTTTTGGTCCAGGTATGTCACGATTTTTCCAAAAATTGTTGTTAGTTGTTAAATAATAATAAAACGCAATAAACACTATTACGAATCCACAAAGTGTTTCCAGATTGACGAACATTTTTTAGTATTTGGCGAATCACAAATTCGGACAAATTATTATAATTTGTTGTTTGCTGCGAAATATGGATAATATTTATTCAAAAAATCATGAGAAATGGAATTTTTGGAATTTAAGATACGTTTTAATAATATATCGTAAAAAATTGCATTATTTTTTTTAACTTTTTATAATATTTAAAATAATTTCTTTTTAACAAAATGTTCGTGTATTTTTCATTAATTAGAAATATACATTAAGAATTTAATTTTCATTCAAAAAATTCATAAACTTTGTTTAAACATAATAAAAATAAATATTATAATTTAAAATAATTATTTATTCTTTAAGTATCGGTATCGATACTTATTTTTAAATACCTTAAATTTTAATTATTATGCATTTATAAAAAAAATTTTGCTTCAAAT